TATTTGAATATATTACAATATTATTACCTATAAAACTCATACAGTTTCCAGTTTTACACTTTTCAATGTCAATTAAATTATTGTAATATAATATAATTTACAGTGCCGCAACTTGGTACATATTGGTGGGTTTGCGACCAAATATATAGGGCCCATGTACAGAGGCCCAAATATGGGGGGGTTCTAAAGAACCTCCCCCCCCCGACTACGATTTAGAAAAAATATTCCTTATTTATATAGATTTAAGCCCTTATAGGTTATTTTAAATTAATAGTTTTGTTAGGTTGTCTATAGCCCCACAGGGTTTTAACCCTAGTTGCGACTATGCTCATGTACAAATAGGTCATTAAATACATATTGCTTGTAGTTTTTTGCTTTTGTTACGTACATTATAATATTTTGAAGTTAATATAATATACACTGCTATACTGCTTACAGATAGGTGAACAGCACTGAAGACATTGTACATTGTAGTAATTATACACATATAGGTGAGGACCTAGGAGCAAAGTGAAATGCGGCCCTTAAGACCAATTATTTCCGTTCTTGTCCAAATTTAAATGCAATAAACCATCAGCCATCACAAAATGGAAATATTAAGAAATTCGAGAATATGATATTGGCGGTATAATTCAGCCACCTACCATTCGAAATTATTATTTTTATTATGTTGTTATAATTGTAGTCAGGACTTTGATTTATATTATAATAAATATTAAATAATAATAATGAAATGATTCACCTTAGTAATAAAATATTTTATTATAATAATATTTTTTTTAATTATCGGTAAAAAAACATGCTAATCGATGGTAAATACAATTAATTTATTAATATTATTGATACAATAATAATATTATATTGTTCACAGGGAATACGCAGTGTAGATGCTAAACCTAAGGCTGGCTGTGATTATAGTCATTATATTATGGGAAATTGCGATTTATCAATAATATTTCATTTCTTATAAAACTACAAAAAGGTTAGTTAGCCTAACCTAAGGATTAGTTATTATTCAAATGTAAACTAATAATAAAATATTGAAATATATATATGCACGTAAATATAATATTTTTCATTTTGTAATGATTTTTGTATAGGTACTTTGATATTTTCTATTTACATAATATAATTGATATTTTCATTGGATATATATAAAAATGGAGCCAAAAATGTATAACAGTTCATCAATCGAGAACGGCTGGGCCAATTTGGCTGATTTATTTGTTTGTTGTGTTTGTGATTGCATGGAGCAGGTTTTTACTAAATAAAATTTTAGGAAAATCCAGTGGAAAAGTAAAAATCTGGATGTAAAAGAAAAATAATAATGGCACCATTTGTCCAGCAAGAAAATAAATTAAATCTATATATATATAAAAATGAATGTATGTCAGTGTGTCTGTGTGTCTGTGTGTCCATGTTACCATGGTTACCAAGGTTGCCATGGTTACTAAGGTTACCAAGATTTCATATCAATCTATCTATATATATAAAAATGAGTGTATGTCAGTGTGTGTGTGTGTGTGTGTGTGTCCATATTACCATGGCAACCATATCTGTATATAAAAAACAGTAAGCTGATTGACTGCTATCAACGCACAGCTCAAACCATTGGACGGATCTGGCTGAAATTTGGCATACAGATAGCTATTATAATATAGACGAGCGCTAAGAAAGGATTTGCCAAAATTCGCATTTTAAATAGGTGCTGAAACAGGGACATTGAGATTCACGATAGAAATTGGAAATTTTATTTTTATTTATTTATAGTTGCCATTGGTTACAGTCTACATTAGTAATTAGCATTTATTTATTGGTTGCCATTGGTTATTCGGGCAGATCAGGTACAAGCTTGCATCAAATCGAATTATTGAACAATGCTTACCAGGGTGGCAGAGTTGCACTTACCGCAGAAAATTACACCCAAAAGGAGTTCAACAATCATAATTTTTTTAAGAGTTGCGATTTTTTACGAGCAACCAAATTTATTATATTAATCCACAGTATTACATCAAAATAAACTTGGTATAACTTTGATACTTTAGAGTTAAATCATACACTTCCGTACAAACAGCACGGGGTCCGCGATCTACCGCAGGTAGATTGCCTACCTGATAATGTACTGCTGCGATTCAGAATTTTTATTCAGGGCAACGGGAAAGATAAGATAAATTTTGAACACCATACACGTTAATGAATTGAACAAAGTTTGAGTAGGTAGTATTGAGTTGATCCATTTAATAGGCGACGAAGTGCACGGGATCAGCTAGTAATAATATATTTTTGTTTATTATAAGGTTGCTATTGGTTATGATTTTAAAATAATAAAATTAGAGCATGTTAAACTGTCGATTGCCGCGAAACGCTGAATGTTGGTAGAACAACTATTTTCCCAGCATGGATCAAATGTGATGGTCGCATTTGCCTACCAAGGTGGCAGAGTTGAATTTATAGCCGATCATTTTAGTGTCTGCAATCCATCGCAGGTGGATTGGCTACTTTTATGCTATCGATCATCGTCTGCAATCCGACGTAGTCAGATTGCCTATACCAGGGTGGTTTAATTCCACTTACTGCAGCGAGTTACATCTAAAAAGAGTTGAGCAATCTCAATTTTTACGGGCAACGAAGTGAGCGGGATCAGCTAGTAGTCTTAGAAATATTAATATTGTATCTATTACATTGTTTACTTGTATAAATGGTAAATATTTATAATACAGAATATAATAAAGAAATATGCAGAGATTTACCTTAGTTAGGAACCTAAATTACACTAAAATACATTGGTAATTTGTAACTACAGTAGAGTCCTGTTAATCCGGACTAGATGGGACCGGACTCTCTCCGGATTATCGAAAATCCGGATTAAATGAAATGACTTTTTTTTTAACTTACTCATTAATAAACACTATAAATAACACAATAAATATACTGTCAAAAAACACCTCATGTATTTATACGAATTCAAAATGTATTGATTTACAATTAAATTAAATTTATATATAATTAATTACATTAAATAACATTATTATTTTTATTATTAAGACTTCAAAAACTCGGTGAAATATTTTTGTTTTAATGAAGATTGACGTAATTTCGCTGTGCGATGTCTTAGACGCCTTAAGGTCAGTAGCTCAGCAGAAGATGTTTCACTTTGTTTCTCAAAGTAAGTCATCAACTGCTCCAGCATTGCAGTTGCTTCACCATGTGTCGGGTACGTTGATTGATCTGTACCATCATCTTCATCTTCTGAACTGTCAACTTCTATTTCTATGTTTTCAATACATGCATTTACAATTTCATCATCACTAAGAACCTGATGACCAACATCAGTGTCGCCGTTTATCCATTCAGAAATATAATTTGCTTCCACCTCGGCACAACCTTCCAACTCTTGAAAAACTTGAATGAAATCAGTGTCTTCATTTGAAGTTGTTTCATCTCGTCTATAGTTTTCTTGAGGAATTAATATTCACCAAAAGTGGAAATTTTAAATCACCAGAAGCGTTACTGCAAGGAAGTAAAGTTATTCGTTCTTTTTTCACTTTATGTCCTTTGGCTACAGAATCTAGTTTTGAGGCTAATTTTTTTTTGGAAGCATTTTGTAATTCAACCCAGTTTCGTCAGCATTAAATATTTGGCAAGGCATTAAGTCGTCATCGCTAATAAACTTTTCAAATTTCGTTTTAAAGTCTTCACTTGCGACATTGTCAAATGATAAAATTTCACCACTTACACCAAGTTCACGAATGCCATGTCGATTTTCCCACCGAGACAACCATCCTAAACTAGCAGCAAAAGTAGGAACTCCTTTTAATTTTTCATTAAATTTTATCGCGATAGCTTGTAACGTAACACCCGACAACGGAACTCCGTGTTCACGTTGTTGACAAAACCAAATGTACAAAGCATCGTCTAAAGCTGCGTTGTTTGGTTTTCTTAATGTGCGTCTGTTACCTAAGCTGTACCTTAAGCTAGTTCCCCATTGTTGACCCTGTAGTTTTATCAAAATGTTAAATTAGTTTTGAATAATATTATATACCGTTGGTGGGTTATTGTCGGATAATATAAATTTTTTCCTTAAAGCTGATATGATTTGACTGTTTGGAATGCACCTGTAGAAGATCTTAATACTTTTTGTAATAATTGTAGGTTTAGGGTTTTCTATTCTCATTTTGGTACAATATTTTTCAATATTTTATTCATCTTGTTGTTATTGCACTCTATTGATGCCTACATTTACATTATAAGATGTATAACACTTGCAGTTGATTTTTTTTTTTGTTTTCATGAATACATTGTACTATGATATAATCGTATATATTTACTCAAATTAGATTTATTTACTCAAAATAGTAAGAACAATAACTGTTTATGAAATCCAATATTTGCAAAAAAAAATTTTAATTATTATCATTTTTTATGGAATTATATTCATACTAGGTAGTTCAGAATTTTGTTTGTTTTATTAATTGCATTAATATAGTATGACATATCACTTATTAATATTTAATAATATTATAATCTTAATAATTATAATAATTATCATTCATCCATCTTGAATTAGGTATATCTGAAAAATAAATATTTTTGTTAAGACTCCTAGTAAGATATGAATGGTGTTCGGTCAACATCCCGCCGGACGAAAACCCGCCACCAAAATCCCGTCCGGACAACATATCGCCCGGATAAAATATATATAATAATATACGTTATCTGTATTGTTATTATTGTTAGTAATAAAAGTTGTAGAGGAATTGGTTAGCCGTTATGCCGTTATCGAGGGTCATGATGTGAACGATGTAGAGAAAATCCATATATTGACTGACACTATACTGATGTATAGAAAATCCATGCACGCATGTGCAATTTATCGTACTTTATCTCCGAATTTTCGATATGAGAATATTACATTCGTAACAACACATTAATTTATCTGTACAAACCCGTGCGTATCTCACGTCGTACGTTTCTCTCGCCATACGTTTTTTTTTTTAAATATGGAATTTGTTAAAAGTGCCAAAGGCAATAATTTATTAGTGTATAAAGGTTTCCTATACTCCAGAGAGAAACCACCAAAAAATGAAAAAACCATATGGAAATGTGTGGAAAGTAAAAATTGTATGTGTCGTCCACACTATTAGTGAAGAAATAACGAAAGTTTTGAATGTGCATTCTCACCCACCGGATCCAGCCAAAATTTGGTAAGCAAATTTTTTCTAAACTTAAACACTTTTCTATGGATGTGGGATCATCAACTCATGCTGTTGTCGCAAAAGTTTGCCAAGACATTACACCAGGAGTTTCTAGTGTATTACCCAGCATCAGTTCTTTAAAACGCAATGTTCGACGATATAGAGTATGCTTAGAAACTTCCCCCTCTAATCCGTCTTCACTGGAAAATTTAATAATACCAGAAAAATTTTTACTCACAGTGGACAAAAAGCCATTTATGTTATATGATAGTGGTAAGGAAGATTCTCAAAGATTACTGATTTTTTCTACCAAAATAAATTTAGAACTTCTCGCAACGTGTGATCATTGGTATGCTGACGGAACATTCTCTTCTTCCCCTCAACTATTCTCACAAATTTATACTGTTCATGGAGCTAAATTTTCTACCTGCATACCCCTTGTCTATGCTTTGCTGCCTGATAAAACCCAGACTACTTATACAAAATTTCTGACAGCATTGAAAGCACTAAACTCATCATTAAAACCTAGTACATTAATGATAGACTTCGAACAAGCAGTTCAAAAATCGGTCAATGAAGTTTTTCCGGAATGTCTGGTAAGAGGCTGTTTCTTTTATTTTCCCCAATCAATATGGCGTCACATTCAGTCTTCATCTTTACAACAGCGGTTTATGAACGATGCAGAATTTGCACTGGAAATTCGTCAATTAGCTGCTCTTGCGTTTATTCCAAAGGAGGCTGTGGAGAAATCGTTCAAAACTTTGATTGAGAGTGAATTTTACGAAAATAATGAACCAGAACTTGCTCCTCTCCTCAATTACTTCGAGGATACTTGGCTGGGGAGACTAAATAGGCGTGGACGGCGGCGCAGTCCTCTGTTTCCTCTTTCTATGTGGAATTGTTTCACTAATGTAACTGCAGATCTCCCTCGATCTAATAATGGGGTTGAAGGATGGCACAATACTTTATACTCACTCCTGCATGCTGCACATCCTTCTATTTGGAAAGTAATTAATGCATTCCAAAAAGACGAAAATCTGACAAGAGTGAAGATAGAAGGTTTTATTCAGGGGAAGGAAAATGTGTCTCAGAAGAAACGTTATAAGCTCTTAAATGCAAGAATAGAGACTATTTGTTCTAAATTTCAAGAGACGCCAACTCTCGACTACCTACGTGGTATTGCTCATAATTTGCAATTTAATGTTTAAAATAGTAAATAAAAATAAAAATTGACGAAAATATATTATATAGTATGAAATATAAAAAAGTAAATAAAAAAAAAGTAGAAATAATAAACGTAAACTTCAAAAACAACTTTTTAAACACGCCCATTTAATGAATTTTGAATATCTTTAAAATTCACTATTGGACAGTCCTAAGCCTGGTAATGTGTGAAGTAAAAGTTGATAAGGAATTTGAAAAAAAAAATATGTACAAAACAGTTTAATGAACTTTTTTCACATTTGGCAGGATTTTGTCCGGGCGGGATTTTTTCCGAGCGGGATCCTGTCCGGCGGGATTTCGTCAGGCGGGATGTTGTCCGGCGGGATTTTGGTTGCTGGATTTTGTCCTAGATTCGATATGAATAGGCAATGTAGTATACAGGAATACGGTTACCTACCTTATCAGAATTGATAAGTGCTAAACGTCCGGGAGCTAACTTCACAGACATCGATAATAATAATAAAATTCAAAATAATAACATATACAATTTATTAAAGCGAACACAACATTTTAGAAGATTTTAAAAACAATTATTATGCCAAGAAAAAATTTAAAAAAAAACAGTTTTTTGAATCTCGAGCACTTGAACTGTTTCTGAACTTTGAGTTATTTATCACAATTTTTGTAAAAAAATTATATTATATTATAATATATAGAAATACGGAATAACTCGGGAAATAATAATATTCGAATATATTCAAGTCAATCGTCGTCGATAAGGAAAAGGGAGATAAGCGAGCGAAATAGCGAACGCGCGGGAAGTATTATTATTGGTCGTCATGGAAGAAACGCGGAGTGCCATCAGCGCCCCTCGCGCATCTTATACGCGTTATTAGCGTTTTATTAAGATTAACAAGTAATTAAGTTTTACTTAACATTATTAACTTGATATAATATAATAATACAATATAATATAATACATATTAGATAACAATATAATATACTATATAATAATTAGGAGTCATAGGTTGGTTCACTTTTGTAATAATATATAATACAAGATGTCTAGATTATATAAATAATAATATAATATGTCATATACAATTCTCACCGCCACTAATTAGCTAAGAACAAAAATTGGTATTCACGGGGGGGGGGGGGGGTGATTAGATATATATATATTACCCCTTGAACTTATTAAAAAGGCGGAGAGTCAAACACTTGCTAAGGTCACTATAGTGAATGCAAAAAGCTAAGATGTGTAAGACAAAGACAACACATGTAGTAAAGCATTTTTTAAATGATAATAAATTTTTAATTCATATTAAAATATAAATTATATTTACTTTTTTTAAGATCATTGATTTCAAGCCGTAATTTTTCAATCATCAGTTCATTTTTAATTTTCTCCCACATTAAATTTGCTTTAATTTGTAATTGCTCAGCATCATGTTTCTCCTGAGCTTTCCTATCTTCATTTTGGAAGTATTTTTTTTGTTCACTAATTAACTCTAGCTTCCCTAAAGAGTACTTTTTTACACTTTCCCCTAGCGTAGTTTTTATGGTTTTTATTTTATGAAAGAGGGGTTAGCAACTCAGTACTTTTTGGTTGTGATAGTAGTTCAGGATTCCACTTGGTCCACGAAAGTTGAACTGGTAAATCATCCACAGGTACTGCAACACTTGGCATATTCATTTCATCATCCGATCCCTAGTTAAAACATGCAAAAATAAATAAATAATAAAATTGTAAAACAGCTACATTCTCATAAGGTTGTTCTAAATTAGATGTAAATTTGTTTTTTGGTTTACTTATCAAATATTATAACATACACTAACCATATGCACTTGTGTATATTCCATGTTGCTACTCATGTCCAACTCTATTTCACCACCTAAATATTTGACTACTACAACAGTATCCTCATCGTTATCAATGTTTCCTATCATTTCAGGATTAATTAATGGTTTCACTTAAATAAACACCAATTTTCTTAGAATATAATTAGTGTACAGAAAACTAGATAATATAACATATTATATAGATATTATAACAAAAAACATATAGAGGTTACCTGGTTTATCTCCGTCAAAAGGATTGTGTAACCCTACAGCTGAAACCCCTAACACTCCAAGCATCATATTATGGCTAGCTTAGGGCTCGACAGAGAAACTTGTACTTGCTCCACCTCCTGTTTGGAAGATATTTTTCTTTCTTTCCGACTCAATTTTTTTGGTTTTTCATTTCAAGTTTTCATATTTATCTTTCAGATTTTGTACCTATTATAATAATAACTATTTAAATTTTATACATGGTATAAAACTAGTAATTACATATTATTACATAATTGTCAATAATAATCAGGCCATTTTTGAATGATATTTTTTATGTCTAAATGGACACACAGTTAAGTTCAATCGACACCCAGTAGAGTAAGATTGTTATGTAATAATGTTAAGTTGGTTAGTTCTGAGACCAGTACAGCTGCCCGCTAACCACCGAACTCCGGAGGACGATACTGTTGGGAAGTCTTTCGATATTTAAGTAGTTTATAAGTATTCGTATATAATAAGCGCTGTATACGTATTTAATGATTATTGTATGTGTAAGGATATTGTGTATGTAGTTTAAAAATATTGTGTACGTAATAATAATTGTTGTGTAATAATAAACATATTCACTTAAGCTTGATATTTGACTAAACTTTCCTCAAGCTCCCGAGTTACGGTAAAAATATAATTCATAGGTCTCTGAAAACCCTCACTGAATTATTTAAATATAACAGGTTCCCTAACCCTGTTACATTTTGGTGGAAGCGCCGTATCAATTAACATCTGCAACTAGGTCAAATATTAGGTTTGAGTGTTGATTTTATTATAGCACAATAGGTGGTATCATGTCTTTAAGCTCACGGTATCTACGCCGATTGCATTTACGCCGATGGTATGTTTTTTTACAAAACGAATGTGTTTCTATGGGACTAATATAAGAATAAAAATTAACTAATATGAAACTGAACATTTTGGAAAATTAATTATGTTATTAAATAATTAAAAATAAAATACGTAACTCGTTGTTGCCTAGTTTTTTTTAATAATAAATATTTTTTGGCTCTGAAAAGAACCTTTTTATGCCCTAAAAAGGACATTTTTTAAAACGACGAGTGCCCCTAAACTTTTTCATTTAGCAAGATTGGAATTGAAAATTATGAGCAATTCCCTACAAATAATCGGAGGTGTCGCGATTCCCATAGTCTTAAACGATTTCTTTAATTCGCAATGCTGTGTCTCGATAACACAGTTATGGGTATGTGTTTGTCTTCTTTCATTTTTTCCGTGGTATACACAAAACCTTTATTGATCAACTGTTGGTTGCCCTTCTGGCTTAAAACAAATTCAAGTGGCATGGTTGCTTTTGACTTCTTACAAGACCGAATGTTAGAATCGAACTGACCGATCATTAAACCTGTTACGTCCCAACTGAGATCGATATATACAACAACGCAGGAATGAAATACTGATGTACTTGGTTATGATGAGTGTTTATTTAAGTACAAAGTTGCAATGTATATAAGCTATGGTGGAGATGTGAGCGGTGTTATGACCTGACTCCAAATGTCTTGAGTATCCCTAACCGTATGCCGAGCTCTTGTCCCGGGCTGGTATTTATATGATCGAGTCCTTTGGAGTGGGTGGTTGTATCAATGGCCAAATTTGGTCATGAAACTGCGTCCGAGTCTCGTACTTGGTATGCTGGTCGACTCGTATCCTTCGTATGACTTTCCTAGAGATATACTTTTACAGTTTCCCTAGCGTGTTATAATACACCAATTGCCTTATTAATTATATCATCGGGTACTATTAGAAACCTGCGTTACGTCGTACATTGTTATTACTTAATTACTAAATACGTAGGTACGTAACAAACCGGCACCTGTATATATACGGGTTACGCAGGTAAAACCGACCAATGAGATTTACCATTAAGCATATTAAAGACAAAATGAATTGTGCTGGCAAAATATTTCTTTATTTCTATAAAGTATAAACTATTAGTTAAGTTTTATTAAATAGCATAGGTACTAGGTAGTTACTAGTTAGTATCAATTTAGTAATAAAAGCTGTAAATGCAACTAAACTTCAAATATAAGCTAAATGAAATGTACAAGTAAATAAAATAATTTATAGAGATTAATAAAGCTAATGCTGATAAATATACAAGTAACAATAAAAAAGGTATTAATATTACCAGTAGTCCCACTGATTATAGAATAGATATTATAGATTATAGAATATTAATAAATAGCTCAAAAAGAGTCAAAATATTTTGTGAACTACCTATTCTATAATCAGTATAATCAATGCTGTAGTAGGTACCTATAAAATACTAACTTAGTAAAACACAAAGTATTATTCAAAGTGATTAATAATTATTCTAAGACATTACTCTATATTATATTATATAACATACTTTATAAATAATAATAATTTTATAGTTAAATATAATTTAATACAAGTTACAACAAACGTCAAACACTTACAATGAGTAAAATCTATTTCAGAACCAGATTTTGAATGAGAATCAACAGAATCCGATAACTTTTGTCTTTTAATTAAGAATTTGTCCATGTTTAAGGTGTTTTAAATTTTTATTTAGTTTTTAACAGTAACAATATCTTTTGTTTGACTTAAAAAATGATTATTTACCTATTCTGTATATTGTATGATACTATTATATTAGATAATCACATAATATTATCAACTAAACGTGGTTATAGCCATAGATAACATATTATTATTTAAGTTTAAGGTCTATGGTTATTGGTTATAGCCACGGCTATAGATAATATATGGTTGCGGAACGAAACAAAATGTGAAGCTTAAAACGTATATTAGCTTTAACACCAGGGGGCCAATTCTTGAAATCGTGACAAACTTTGTCGCATGCGAGAAAAATTTTCTCGTATGAAAATAAATATTTGGTATTCTTGAAAAGATATATGACTTTAGTCGAACGAAAAACATTCGACTGTTTGTCTACTGGGTATAAGTCAGTGACAAACTTTAGTCGCATGATAATGTATGAAATGTGATAACAATTTTCACATTATTGATTATATTATTGATTATACAACTATTACAACAGAATACAGAAACATAGATAAAGAAAATGTACAGAAATATTATTACCGATTCTCATCGATCATCAATTTGTGTTTTGTAAATTACTTTGTATTAATCCGTTATTAATTTCCTTTTTCCTATTATAATGGCAAATTTTGATGAAATGGCAATGTTATTTGCAATTGGAAATATTGGAGAGCATGAACGCGCAATGAATGTACGACAAACACGAAGGAAAGAGATAATTTTGGATCCATTTGATACATCAGATAGACTGTTCATAAAAAATTTTAGACTTACAAAAGACCTTGTAAAGTATTTAATTGAACTTTTATGACCATATATAGTTTCAAAAAGCCGCCTGTCTGCTGTCGATTTAAATACAAAAGTTAGTGAGTAAATTATACTCTATTTGATGTTTCTTTCAGTGATCGTCCGGGGGCCCTTATGTATTTTTATTTATTGGGGCCTTAATTAAATGGAAAAGAAATAAAAAAAAAAATGTTATTTTACTTGCGATTCTTCCTCATTTTTTAAGTCAGCCTATAATGTTAATAAGTATTTTTGATGCTATTGTGATTAAAGTAATTTATTTTACTATTAGACATTAGGTAGTAAAACAGTAAGTTAAATTAATTTTTTCCAAAAAATAATTCTTTTGAAATAATTAATAATCAATTTTTTGTAAAGGGGCCAGACCGACACTAGTTATTTTTCATTGTTTTTGCATTATATTATTGTGTAAATATATTAGATTCTAGTAACGTTGAATTTTTTGGCTTCTGGATCATACCAGTCTCCAACTGGTAATAGTAAGTTTATAGTCTTATCACAACCGTCTGTATCTCGGTGTATAAGTGAAGTTGTAGAGGCACTAAACCGGCCAGAAATATTTGACAAATGGGTTAAGTTTCCTAGTAACCTGAATGAGCTGACTGAAATCCGTAATGGGTAACTTTTAAATTTTCTTTCGAAAATTTCTAATAAATATTTAATAAGATGTCCAATATTATTACAGTTTTTATAGAGAAACTGGATTTCCTGGAGTAATAGGATGTATTGACTGTACTCACGTAGCGATTGTACCTCCTTCAAATAATTTAAATTTGAATGAAAATGAAAATCCCGAATACATTTATGTGAACCGTAAGGGATATCATTCCATAAATGTCCAATTGGTAAGTAATCTTTTAAACCTTATTTTTTTTAGTATGTATTAAATATTTTAAGGTTACAGTGTAAGTGTATGCATATTGTATAACTAAATAAATAAATATTTAAACTCAACTTTAGATTTGTGATTCAAAATTAAGAGTTTTAAATGTGAACGCACTATTTCCTGGCAGTACCCACGACACCCATATATGGAACAATAGTTCTGTTTTACCAGTAATGCAGGAATTACACAGACGCAATCATCATAACTTTTATTTATTAGGTAAAATACACTCTTAACATTGTATTTGAAATATAAATGATAAATTGTTTCTAGTTAATAATATATTTATTTTAAAATATTATTAGGTGATTCTGGATATCCCTTACGTCCTTGGCTATTGACACCAATTACAAATCCTACAACAAACCCTGAAAAATATTACAACCAAAAACAAATGTCAACTAGAAGTCTAATTGAACGTTGCAACGGGGTGTTGAAAATGCGATTTAGGTACCTAAATCTGTTTCTAATGTCCATATTATATACAATTTTAACACCAAATATTTTTTTTTTTATAGATGCTTATTAAAAGATAGAACTTTACATTATAAACCAGAAAAAGCATCATCAATAATAAATGCATGTATAGTTCTACATAATATGTGTATTACTAATAATATTCCTTTGGATGAACATGACATTCCAGAGTATGATAATTTGGGTATGATGGAAAACCGAGAGATATTAGCGGACAATAATCGTAATTTAGACTTAGCTCTTGGTAGACAACATAGGGAAAAAATTGTAACATACTTATTTCAAAGACATGTATAAATTTTATTAATAACATATATTATACTTCTTATTCAAAATAACTGTGTGATACTTGTTTATTATCTGCTGACTAGTTAAATTCAGTTTTTAACATTTAGTAAATTAATACATTATAAATAAAAAAAACAAATAAAATAAAATAAAATAATAATCTTTGGTAAATGAATACTTAAATATTAATAACAAATAAAATTAAAACCCTATTTTACCTAATCCTTTGTGGTAATTTCAAATGATTTTCAGTCTTCACTTTCTTATTTCAGTCTTACTTAACCATATTATGGTTTTGATAATTGCTCAGTCAATGTAGTAAGTACATTTGTTAGGTTCTTAAATATCACATTTTTATCTTCCATCAGTTTTATTTTTTTTGCATAATATGCTGCTTTTAAATCATATTTTTTCTCCGAAATACTGTATAGGTTATTTGCAGCTCTATTACTTGCAGCTAATCTAGCTGCAGTAGACATTTTCCCTTTTATATCTAAAATATAATAAGTATTATATTACTTTACACTATTGTTATGACTATGAGTATGATAGGAATGATAAAAATTGAAATATTACCTGATTTAGGTGAAAATGGTGCAATGATTGGCTGTTTATCATTGGCCGCTATCGGTTTAGGGGCAGCGATTGAGTAATTTTTGTTTTCATTGTCAGCTAATTATAAAGCAGGTTAAAGAATAAAGCAAGTTAGTATTTTATAATATTAGTATTTATTTTAAATGAATAAAATATTAAATTATCTGTGTATATTATGTACACACAATGTAATATGTTACAAACATTTTTTTTTATACGTACATTCAATATCAGCTACTTCTTCGATGATATAATCATTAGTATCTAAAATCAGACCAAAAATATATTTATTTCTTAATAGTTATTTAATTTATGAAGTAGATTCAATTAAATTGATTTGTTATAAACTTACCAAGTGTCACATCATTTTCGGTAATTTCATAAATAAATTCCACATTTGATTCCTTGGACTTAGAATGACCACTTACTGATGCCGGACTCATTAAAAGTAATGCATCTTGTTGAATATCGTTCAGTTGAATGGCACAAGTAGGTCCACCGCCAGTACCTCCGATATGTCGCTTAATAGCTGCAGCTTTGGTTTTTGTAGCGGATCTTGTATCTTGCCATGTCTATAATATAACAAAGAGTAAATTTAATATTTTAATGTGGTTACAACTCAAATTTATAATCTACAATTTCATAGCAACACAAGATATTTTTATAGAAGGTTCCCAACTAATTTTTCTACCTCTATCAAAAAAAAAAGATTAATGTAAAGTTATGTTATTTAAAACTATTAGATATTTTCGATTTTCATTATTTTTTCTTTAAACTATTAAAGTTGATAATGCATACAAGTATGGTAGGATGATACAACGTCTCCGAATCATTTTTTCAAATGCAATTATTTATCATTGAATACGAGACATAACACATCCATTACAATAACATGCTCGAAAACTACTGTACAGCAGAGCGGTATCCACTTGTCCACCTTTTTTATTTTTATGAAATAGCTTCAATTTTAAACTATTGAGGCTCAACAATTCAGATTGACTATGGCTAATTACTAAATTATAAATTAGCAATTTACTACATAATATTATAGCTGTTGCCTGTTAGGCATTATACAAACCGAGAGAGAGAAAAACAATTTATAATAATAGTAACACAACACCTATAATATTCAGTTAATTATGTCCGTAATTCATCAACAGCCAATATTAATATCAATATAAACATTTATATTTGTTTTAAAGGTAAGTGTCCACTTGAGATTATAGCTCGAGAGAAAGTCTCGAGATTGATCTCGGGATGTTATCCATTTGAGATCAATCACGGTCTCGAGATAGGTTTTGGAGACTCGAAAGTGACATTAATCTCGAGACCAAGACAATATCGTGTCGACTAGAGAGTTAACACACACAGTCTTGTGTGGGACTTGACCGCGTGTACACGTGTTTTTTTACAAATTTGAGTGTTTTTTCTTTCTTTTTTTACAAAATGGATTCGCGTCAGGCCCTAGCTTTTATAATTGCGCATAATATTGTACAAAAACGGAAGCTAAAAGAAAAAAGAAAAAAGAAATGTTGGGTTAGGAAATGGGTGGACCGTCGAAGTGACTTGGGAGCCGCTTCAAATCTTGTAAATGAGCTTCGGTTGGAGGATGCACAGCAGTTTAAAAATTTTATTCGGATGTCTGCAGTGCAATTTGAAATGCTTTTGGATTTAATAAAACACCAGATTGTCAAGCAAGATACACAATTGCGTGAAGCGATTCCTGTTCATGACAGATTAATGGTCACCCTCCGTTTTTTGGCTTCAGGTACGTATGTGGTTTTATATATATAGTATGTTGTATACTAGATCAAATAAATATTTTAGCTCTATAAGTAAAATATATAATAAATAATAAATAAAAAAAAACAGAATTCGATTATCTCTATTAACAAGGGGGATATCGCTCTGTGTAAATCTCCGTGGGACACCCTATATAATATATATATATATATTTGTTTTTGGATTTTTTTGTTTTAAGTATCATTTTCTCTTTTAGGAGATGCTTACAGTAGTTTGCAATACCTTTTCCGCATTCCACCTTGTACAATTGGAAGAATAGTTTTCGAAGTATGCCAAGCTATTTATGATAATTTAAAGGAAAAATATTTAAAGGTATGTATAAACATGTATTATTATTATTTTTTTTATTGAACAATTTCTTAATTAATTTTGATTTGAACTTAACATTTTTAACTTTATATTTTATTACATAATATCACTTATTATCACTGTTTTACGTAACTAGAGTACAAATTTAAATTATTATATTTACTTAAAACAAATCAGTGAATGAATCATAATATTCTTGGGTTGTCTGAGGCTCTTTACTTGTTGACGGAGGAATGTTCTCAGCGAAAGTAGGTGATGGCGTAGGCATTGGGGTGGAGCATGATGAAGAATTTGTACTTGAATAGGTAGACCAGTGGCTTCTTTCGTCCATTTCAGCAATATTTGCTATTGATTTACGAATCTCACTTTTCAGTAGCCCTCTGTAGTAATCTGATTTTAAAGATTTTAATTCCAAAGCGACGTAATCTCCAAAGCGCTCAAAATCGGTTTTCGGCTTTTTCATAATGTCAATGGCTTCCTTTAAATATGTATCTTCATCATCGTTAGTTTGGGACTGCCTTTTGTTGGAAACTTTTTTTTTACTCGGTGTTTGTTCATTTAGGGTTGGCTCACTCTGCGAACTTTCTAAGTTTTTCTGGATACTCTGAAAAGTAAGAAATTAAAAAATAAAGAATGTGTGTTGTGGTAACAACAAACAAGTAAATGACCTGGGCCAATATAATATATTAATAAAAAGAAATTTGAATTCAATAATATATTATAATAATATCTAAAACCATTTTATAGTAAATCGTTATTTTACACTTGAATTTAAAATTTTAAAATTTCTATAATCTTAAAAATTTAAAATTTAGACGCTCGTAAAATTTTTTTATTGACTTAAGCTAGATTTGTTTTTATAATTATTTTAAGCAATAATGTATTTTTATTTCAGTGTCCTTCTAGCACAGAAGAATTGAAGAAATGTGCAAATCAATTTGCATTAAAATGGCAATTCCCACATTGCTTTGGAGCAATTGACGGCAAACATATTACAATAGTGGCTCCACAAAATAGTGGAAGCCTTTACTATAACTATAAGAATACACACAGCATTGTTTTGATGGGAGTTGCAGATGCCAATTATAAATTAATTTATGTTGATGTTGGATGCAATGGTAGAATTTCTGACGGAGGGGTATTCAATAACTGCTCCCTACACGATGCTTTGGAAAGCAAACAGTTAACTCTTCCCGAACCAGAAGCACTACCTCAAAGACATTTGCCAGTTCCATACATAATGGTAGCAGATGATGCCTTTGCTATGACGTCATACATTTTAAAGCCCTATGGGTTCCGAAATCAACCTGCGCCGAACCGAATTTTTAACTATAGACTAAGCAGGGCTCGCCGTATTATAGAAAATGTATTTGGCATTATGTCCAGTAAATTCAGAATCCTCCGTAAACCAATACATTTAGCGCCTCACAAAGTAAAATATGTTACTCTGGCAACATGTGCATTGCATAACTTTTTGATTTCTACATCAAATTATTATTTGTGCCCAAGTTCGGTTGATTCGGAAAATCCTATTACTCGTGAAATTGTAAATGGCGAATGGCGAAATGAACTTCAACCAGAAGGAACATTGTTTCCACTAGAAAGGGGACGGCAGCGGAATTATTCAATATCTCAAAAAGATGTGAGAGACGAATTTAGAGAATATTTTATGACAACTGCTGGTGAGGTTCAATGGCAATATCAATTCATATGTTGAATAATTATAAGTACATACAATTTTATTGACATAAATACAAATTATTTAAATATTATACTAACCATGTTTGACGTAGTTTTTGTTGGTATAAAGCAGGGTACAATGAACTTCAATGCAGAGAAAAACTTCCATTTACTTTCATATCTGTCATCTGCACCATCACCACTCTTCACCTTTTTCATCTTTTGAAGTTCGTGTGAAACCTGAAAAGTTCAATTGAATAAAAAAAATATTAAACTACTATATAAACTATTATATAATATTATTAATTATTTTTAAATTATTTTATACTAAATATAGAACTTAACAATTAATATACACACCTGATTACGTAAGTTATGTATCTTTCTTTGTACCTCATTTACATCACAATTAAATTTTGTCGCGATTTCTTCAAACGCACTCGTTTTCTTGTCCCGATTCCTATACAACTTGTGATTAACATTCCACAAAAATTCCTTTTCCTCGTAAAGATTAATTAACACAAAAATTTCGTCATCTGTCCATTGACGTGCACTCATTTTAAATTAATTTAATTTAATTTGAATAAATAATAATTAAAAAAATGTATATATTATGGTAAATATTATGGTAAATAACACTGGTGCTCTCAGCTCTTCAAACACTATCGGAAGACTGGAGACTAGATCTCAAGAGTAGGAATGAACGTGTCCACTTGCGACACATGCAGTCTCGGTGATTAGTAATGACTTGTCTCTGCGAGTACTCTCAGGTTCATATACATTTGTGACTTAAGTCTCGAGACTGCTCTCGAGACTACCTATTTAATCTCAAGTGGACACTTACCATAATAAATACAAGGAACTCAATATACACTTGGTAGTATAGACTATAGACACTATTGACTATAGGTATCTAGGTATAATACATACTGTAATAAAACGATATTAAAATTTTATAAAAATTTTATAAAAAATTACTAAAAGTAAATTTAGTATCTTAGTGTTATGTGAACTCGACATTAAAATCAGTGATAAAAGATAAAAATTATTCTTTGCAAATTTTATAATATATTTGAGGTTAAAATCTAGATTTTGTGTTGTTACCACAGTGGTTCATTCGATTACTTTGTCGCATTCGACAAGTGATAAAATCTTATCGATTTCAGTTCAAGAATACCTATTATATGTCGCATGCGAGAAAATGTATGACTCTGTCGCATGCGAGGATTAGTCGTATGATTTCAAGAATTGGGCCCCAGCACACAGCGCTCTCTGGGTGATAAATTGTATGATTACATTAAAAATTATATCATTCTGTATTTTTGTCATAGTTATTGTTTTTCAATAATAATTATACAGAAGTAAAATACAGTAATACAATAATATTTATGTTTGTATATAGTATATACGAATATTATAGGTATGCAATAAATAAATAATTCAGGTTTATAGTGCTCGCTCAAGTATTTATATGTATTAATTAATAATTACACATCAATATTTAGACTAACTATAGTAATAGTAGCTAAACTTAAATATATTATATTAATTTTAAAATTAAATTTAAGAAGTAACCAATTTTGATAATTTTTATTTTGTTTTATTCAATTGTTTGGCTTCAATATTTTTTGAATAACTATATTGACGCATTCTCATCGTTATATACATAACAAACATATCTGTAAGTATTTCACTTTTGTGATCATTACAATTCACGTGGGAAAGCAAACTGTGTACAACAAAAATAAAAATACTTTAATAGTTTTATCATATTTATTCAATGGATATAAGTAGTATATATATACCATTCCTGGACCACTTCATAATATATCAGTAAAAGATCACAAAGAAAACAATGTGCAAAAAGATCAGAAAATTGAAATGCAATAATAATAAAAACATTTTTCACAAAACTTATGAAATGCAATAATAATAAAAACATTTTTCACAAAAACTTAATTATTAAAAATAAAAATCGAAATGCAATAATAATAAAAACATTTTTCGCAAAACTTATTAAATGCACCCAAAATATTTTTCATAATACTTATGATATTAATAATTAAAATCGAATTGTAATAATAATTAAAATATTTTTTAATAGAATTGTTCTATTAAAAAAAGTCTAACAACAAACTAGTGAACATTAAATATAGTTATGAAACCAATTATTCATTATATGATTCGCTAATTCATTATGAATTTCCTTAAAATAACCAAATAATTTTTTTAAATTTTTTTGGTAACGTTTGTAACTATACTTATTATCATAAGATTGATATAAAGATGATACATGAGTTTCTAAACTATACTTATTATCATAAGATTGATATAAAGATGATACATGAGTTTCTAAACTATACATAGATGATTCAATTTCTGATAACTCTTGGTATATTTTTATACCTTTGGAACATATCTAAATGATTTTTACAATTTTCCATTTCTAAAAGTTTTTTACAATTTTCCAGTTCTATTATTTATATTAGTAAAAAAATTTTTTTTACATTGTTCTATTAAAAATATTTTCCTAATCTTTTTGATTTTGATTTCTAATCAGTGTATTGAGATGGTTTACAAAATCGTTTCTATCTATGTTTGTTATATAATGTCCCCAAGCTAATGTATCAATACCATTTTCCAAAATAAATCTTTTATCATCATAAACACTTAAAGCTTTTTTGTTTTGTTCTACAGTAAAAATATCATGTTTCTTAGTTCTAAATAAATTTTGTTTAACATATTTTGATTCTTTTGTTAGTAAACATTTTTCAAAATCATTAAAACATATTTTATTTTCTACAACATTTTTTTTAACACCTTTAGCTTTTTTAATTTCTTTTTCAGTATCTAAGATTCGATGAGAATATAATTTAGATCTTAAACCTATAAATTCAGACATTATTTTTCCATTTAACTCATCTTTAAACTTGCCTAAAACTTTTTTGTTAACTAAAGGTAAACCATAAATATTATCTTTTGGATAATCTGAAGTGTCAAAATGATCTAACATAATTTTCATATCTTGATAAAAATCTTTAGTTTTTATTTCTAATATTAGTGAATATGTATCTGTATATAACAATCTAACTCTATTTACATATTTTTTCTTTATAATATTATAATAAAAATCATACATTAACATTTTAGATAAATCTAAAATAAACATTCCTACATATATTGGTTGTTTGAAAGATATTTGTGTTCTTTTCATATGTACGGCAGCTAAATTTTCTGTAAAAATTGTCCTTCGATCAAAATTTGGTTTTGTAATTAATTTTTCTAGTTGGGCTGCATTAGAACATAATTTATATCAACATCATTTTGAACATTCATCATAGTACGTCCATAAACACTATTATTCATTAATTTGAAAAATTCTTTTTCAAACTCATTCTTAGCTTCTGATCTAAGATTAGTATTAAAATCAATATAAACTTTTAACCAAGGAGATTGACTAAATTCTAATACTCTATGAATTTTCTCTATCTTTAAACCTAAATTAATATATAATTTTAGTGTTTCATAATGTATTATATATTTTTTCTTATCATACAAAGTTGTTAATAATTTTGGAAGTTGTTTGTTATCAAAATGTCTTTCTGGTGCTAAAGGGAAATCTAAATATAGATCATGAAGTTCTTTAGGGTAAGATAAATCGACTTCTAAAATATAACCTTTACATGATTTATCAGAAATATTCATTACATCAAAATCATTCAGATTATCAACCCATTTGAAATCTCCAGTAGGTAAATATTTATTCATTGCCCACCCATAAAGATTATTTGCATCCAAGTATTCTAAAAATATTGATTCATCCTTTTTTTTTAAATTTATCTCCCATGTATTTATTATTTGCTTTTGAATATCTTTGACTACATTGAGATAATCCACCTCTGATTCCAGATTCAAACATCAATAATTGATCGACATCTGTTAATAAATCTAATTTTACTTTTGTCATTCTTAACATGCAATCCCACGCAAATCCAGGTGTTGTGTAATACCACATAGGATCTAATTTATAATTTTTTAAAGAAATATCTCTAAAATTTTCTATTATATCTGTTAATAATAAAACATCGATCTTATTATATAAACTAGTGAATTCACGCATATTTTGTATATTAAACACTTTCCAAATTTTCTGTGAGTTTTCATATTCCTCTTTAGTTATATTTTTATCTGTGAGAGAACTATAAAATTTTTCAATAGGAGGTAAACATGTTTCATTAAATTTTTCTTCAAAATCCATATACTCATAGGGATATGCTAACTTTCTAGTAACTAAATCTAAATGTTCTTCAGGAAAATATTTACTAAGTTCTTTAAATTTATTTTTTAAATTTAATTTCGAATCATTTCTAAAATTATTTGTTAACTTTTCTAAAGAACTAGGTAAAAATTTGAATGAATCTATAAATCTTAATTCTGTACATATTTTTATGTTTTTACCTTTCCTAGTTACTACACGTGACATAATTTTTGAAAAAGAAATATATTTTTCCTCATTATTTGGGATCATTTTTATTCTTTCATTATCGTTTCCAAATTCTTTTATAAATAGATGAGCATCATAACCTGAAAGATTATGAAAAGCAATTGGAATAAAACGTGGATTTTGGTAGTTAAGATTACAGATAGAATGTGCTGCTCCTCTATATTCTCCAGTTAAATGGTCATGATCCTGAACTTTTCGCATATTTTTATTTTTATTTTCTAATTCTTTTTTAAGTTTATCTTCATAAAAATTTAATTCTTTTTTATAATATTTAATAGGGTCTTTAATTTTTTTAAGTTTATCTTCATACAATTTTAATTTTTTAACATCATCAGTCTTTTTATAATATTTAATAGAGTCTTTAATTATTTTAAGTTTATCTTCATAATATTTAATTTTTTTAACATCAGTATTTTTATAATATTTAATATTGTCTTTAATTATTTTATGTTCATCTTCATACAATTTAAAATTTTTAACATCATCAGTATTTTTATAATATTCAATATTGTCATTAATTATTTTAAGTTCAT